ATTATTATTACTAATTCACGGTTGCAACCCTTCGTACGTAATCATTAACCCAATCGTTCCCGTATTTTGGTCGAACCTTAACCCAAAATTCGGGGTGTTACATTTCCTCCACCCTTATAAAATTTCGTCCCCGAAATTTGCTCGAAAATAATCCTTCTATCAACACCCTTCTTATACTTCCTTCCCCCAATCGTTTATTTTTACCATAACAACTTCATTGGTAACCTTTGATCACTTAAATTTCCTCAGCTGGTAGCATTCGTGTAACCTTGACTGACTCATTGCCCTTTTCAAAACTTTCCAACTTGGGCCCAGTACTTGATGTTGAACCTATCGAAGTCGAGGTACCACATTTCCTCCCCACTTATAGAAATTTCGCCCTCGAAATTTGTCCACTGTGATTACCCTAACAAGGTTACAGATGGCAGCTTATCCTCTATTCAATCAAATGGTAAAACTCCTTTAACATAACTCTCGTCCGGGGTTGATTCTCATAGATCACCTAGGACGTTGTACCTCCTGACTTTGAATCTCTTACTTTCTTCCAAGATTCTTTGTCTCTCCCCTTTTGCCATCGACTGAATGGTCATCTCCTCGTTACTTGTTGCTTAGCGCCAAAACCTCATACTACGGCTTTTACCTTCTGTAGGCATTAGAGACATCCTATGCATTTCTCTCTAGCTTGCGAACAACCTTATGAACCATTTAAAAAATCATGGCATTCTCTATGGCTTACTTGTTCACTCCTGGCGCCTAACTTAGCACTTACTTATCGCTGCTTGAATTTTATGTTCTTGTACTATGCATTCTGCTACTCTCGGACCCTAGCTGAAATTCATTGTACGGTTTCCCAGTCCAATAAATTTTTATCTAAGCGATCGACACCTTTCACCCGCATAGGCGATCTTGGCTTCACTATGGGGTAACCTATAAGATTTCCTAAACTCATATCCCTATTACCTCTCTACTCGCGACTCTTCTCCTTGATGTTACTCGCTAGTTCTAGATGTCCCTTGTTCTCGATGTAGTCATCTAGGTCCTCATATTATCTTCTAACCTATGTACCTTGACCTATCAGGTTCTCCCTTTGACTATTCTTGACGATCATGATTCCACCTTAAAAATTGACTGAAATATCTCTGTGGACTTCCTATGGATCGTTCGTTCTCTACTTGGTGGTCAACCTAATGCTTCCTTGTTGTCTGTTATACTCCTGCTTCCGACCGTCTTACTATCTTCCTTGATGCATACATCGCCAGGTTGATGCCAACCATTTTTTTCTATAACTTCCCACGGTGTTCTTCTTGCTTCCAATAGAGGATTTCCCTTGGTAGGATTTAACATACCTCATTCACTTCATTTGTCTCGATTGATGCCTACATATGGCCTTAATCTCTTAGTCATGGCTCTTAGTGGCTTAACTACATGTGCCTGTTTCATCCTTAACTAGTTTTCCACTCTGGAGCCCTCCTACCATGCCGCGCCCACTCAGAGTGGGGCACCTTGGATAAGGTAACTTCTCTTTTTCCTCCTTCTCGGTAATGCTTTCTCTCATCGTATCTCTTTGTGCAACTTCTTGACCTCGAGTCACCTGAGACTTGACCCATTGACTTCTTGAAATCTCGTCAAACTCCCTCTGGCCTTTTTGCTCTTCCTTGGTATTGTTCGCAAACTCTCTTCATTTCGACCGTTTAGACTCTTCCTCGAATTCTCCAACTTTCATTAGAACTTCCAATGAACGTTGTACTTTCTTGTCTATACCCGGTTGATTGAATGATTTACTCCTACGGCTGGTTCCGAGACTCCCGCTCTTGGCCCTCTAGTTCCCACTTTAGGCTTTCCCCATGGATTCCTCGAAATTACACAATTTTTTGATTCTCCTTGCTTATGGTAATTTGCATGGTCTCTCAATCCCTTCTCATACCTTGTCCTCTAGCTTGCGCTTGACATGTGTATAGCATGCCTGATCTAACCTCAACCTCTACATCATTTATCTCGTTGCTTGTCTTGTTCCTTTTAAAGGCTTGCTATCAACCTAACTCCCCAGGGTCATGTACCCTCTTTTCTAGTGAGGTAGTTTTTCTATAAGGGTTCCTTTATCATCATATGTAAATGATTATGCCTCCTCTCCGCCTTGACCTTTTGACACTTTGACGTCCTTTCATACCTTCTGCAACCTACTTATTACATCCTCTTTTGCTTCATTCGTACAAACCTATCGTTGCTTACGGTTTAAACTTCCCACTACTCCTTGTCACCGCGTTGTAATAGCATCGGCCACTAAAACCCATAGAGTGTTCTTAGTGGAGCCCCTTTGTTTCCTCCTTGCCCTCTTAGGGTTACGGACCCTGAAATCCTCATTGTTGCTAATGAAACTCTATGCTGCTTGTTGTAAGGTACTAACCTCCCGGAACCTAGCTCTTGGTCCAATGTCGACAACGTAGGTCACCTAGGACCTCGTGCCTTCCAAAATTTGCCAAAAATTTGCACCTTTAGAGTTCATGGCTTCTCTTTTAATAGCAAATATGTTATTCTCCACATCCACCACGTATACCAAGGGTGATGTCCTTGAAATCTTATTGAACTTCTTCCAGCCTCCCTATCCTCATTCAACTTGTACTCAACACCTCTTTGCTGGTGTTTAGACTTGAATTCCTCGCACATTTGATTCAACCTCCATACACCTTGCCAACGTTCTTCATTCCTTCCTAGGTTGATGATGATAATCTCTTCGATAACGTCCCAAGAGTTGGTTAACTGATTCACCAACCATTACCCATCGTGTCAATGAGATACTTGGTTATGAGAGTCTTCATAATTTGTCCTTAACTTGACATCACCAACAGACTCCACCTCATTCGCCTCATGTCTTGAGATTCTACTTGAGTTGGCCACATTTCTTTCTTCCTTCCTTTCATACTGAGGATCGCCACCCACCTCAATCTCTTATTTTACGTACCACAACATGTTAAATCTCGTGCTAGCATATTCTTAACCCAATCGCACCCTCGTGTTACCATCTCGTCTTAGCTTAATAGACCCTCTGCTTGTTTTCTAGTAGTAAAATCCTCGTACTCCTTCTTGAAGTCCTTCAAAACTCTTGAGGTATTCCCCTATGATTGAACCTCTTCTATTCGAACTGAAGTTATTAACTTTAATACGACTAGAGTAGACTGGAGATTCTATAAACTCTTGAAAGAAAACCTTTACCTCATTTTCCCTTCCTTAAAAAAATCCTTTAAAATCGAGACCGACATTCCAGTATTCCCTGAAAACCAAGGAACAGAGGAAGACCGGCTCTGATACCAAAATGGAACACCCTAACCCGGCCGGGTACTAATTTACTAAAATGCCCTTGATAAATAAAATACTCAAATCATAAATTTCAACTGGGAAAAATTTTCATAAATAAAATACTGAAAACACACACTTGTAGCTTAGAGCAAAGCCCTATCACGTAAGCAAATTAAACTCAAACTTTAAAATCTCAAACTGATCTCCAGTCTATACTCATAATCATAAGATGTAAATAACTAGGTGGTCTATGTCGTTGCTGCTACTGAGAACCATAACTAGGCATCGTCTGTGACGCGTGCACTGCCCTCCTCTAGTTGGCTGCCCTCGAACTTTTCGTCTCGAACTCGCTGCTCTCTAACTGCTCCTCTAGCTCCTTCCTCTTCGAACTGGTGAGTGAGATGGGGGCAGTCTACGCCCTTACGTTTTAAACTTTCCTATACTTGAGTACTTTGCTTAAACACTTAACTTTAACTGGTGGAAGTTGTTTTGTACTTCCAATCTTAAAACCTTAACCCTTAAACTTTGAGGGAGTTGAAGTTACTCTCCTATCTTAAAGCTCAAATCTTGACTTAAATACTGGAGTGACACGGGGATCCCTCACTAGCTAGTCTGGTTGCCAACTCATACGTATGAGAAGCCATCCAGGCTTTCCTTAAACTTAAACTTAGTTAGGGAAGTCATAACGATTCATCCCCCTAACATCTTAAATTTATCGTGGTGGCTCTTCACCACGATTCTCAAGAGCATAACTGCTGCTCATCTTAAAAGTCTCAAGAGCATAACTGCTGCTCTATCTCAAAGATCTCCAGAGCATAACTGCTGCTCTATCTGAAAATCTCAAATGGCAACGGACTGGCGCTAGCGACTAAAAACACTTAAAACGACTTCACCTTCTTGAAAGTGAGTTACTTCTTAAAAATAACTTTTTCTTAAACTCTAATAATTAACCATAACATAAAGCTTTAAGGTAATTAATACACATTCACTTTAAATCACATCCAATAGCACAAAATCACCTCGAACCATAACTCAAGCAACGCACAAATAATCAATCATAAACTTAATCAAGCAATGGTAACCAATTCACTAAAATACTTAAAACCATAATACTTAAAAGAATACGTAAGGCGTAGAATTTACCCCCTTTACACTCACCTTATTGATCAGGTTGACTTGGTAACCACCCTCCAACGACGATTGCTTGCAATTTGCAAAAATCCACGGGGCCCTAATCTGTATCCCTCCTGCTTGCTTAACAGCGGCCTGCCTCCTCCTTGCTTAAGCAGGTAGCTGATGTAGTGCAGAGGCATCCGACAATGGTCACGCAATCACGTCCCAAAGGCACTCACCTGCACTGATAATGGACCAGCTTGCTTGGTCCTGCTTGCTTAAGCAGGTAGCTGACGTACATCCCAGGTAGCTGATGTAGTGCAGAGGCATCCGACAATGGTCACGCAATCACGTCCCAAAGGCACTCACTTGCACTGATAATGGACCAGCTTGCTTGTTCCTGCTTGCTTAAGCAGGTAGCTGACGTACATCCCACGCAATCACCTCGTCCACGCTTGACTCCACTAATGGTCCTGCTTGCTTAAGCAGGTAGCTGACTAGTAGGGAGGTATCCACACGAAAACACCCTCGTCCACTATAATAGACCAGCTTGCTTCCCCGTCGATCCACGCGAAAAACGCCCTCGTCCACTAATGGACCAGCTTGCTTCATCCACGCGAAAAACGCCCTTGTCCACTATAATGGACCAGCTTGCTTCCCCGACCAATTTCCCTAAGCAGGCTGCTTTCGTCCAGTCGTCCACTATAATGGACCAGCTTGCTTCTGCCGATTTCCCTAAGCAGGCTACTCTCGTCCACTTCCACCGATGCCCGCGTCGCCATGGCCTGCCTTGCACCGCCAATTGCCTAAGCAGGCTGCTCTCCTAGTAGCGGGGAGAAGAAGCCCCACGTTGATGCGTCCCTCAGCAAGCAAGCTGCTCTCGGCCGCGGGACAACGCAGGGCAGCGGGGACGATACCTCCTGCGATCCGCAACCAAGCTGTCATGCCAAATTTTGATTTGATTTCCCGAGAGCAGGTTGCTTTCGATGGAGTAGGCTGCGTTGGTTTATTTAGTTGCCGAGTAGGGTAAGGCTCTAGGTTTTTTTTTTCTTCTTTTTTCGGCGCTACATGAATTATATATATTAATTAGTAATAATAATATAATAAATTATTATTACTAATTCACGGTTGCAACCCTTCGTAACCCAATCGTTCCCGTATTTTGGTCGAACCTGAACCCAAAATTCGGGGTGTTACATTTCCTCCACCTTTATAAAATTTCATCCCCGAAATTTGCTCGAAACTAATCCTTCTATCAACACCCTTCTTATACTTCCTTCCCCCAATCGTTTATTTTTACCATAACAACTTCATTGGTAACCTTTGATCACTTATATTTCCTCAGCTGGTAGCATTCGTGTAACCTTGAGTGACTCATTGCCCTTTTCAAAATTTTCCAACTTGGACCCAGTACTTGATGTTGAACCTATCAAAGTCGAGGTATCACAATTGTAATAAGAAGTTGGGAGTCTCTCTCGATGGTAAAGCATCCTTGAATAACTCTAAATTGAGGTTAAAGGATTTGTTGCTACTATTAGTTATTATTTTATTGTTGAGCATTTTCACCAGAAAGGATAATTTTGAATACTTCTCACACCCGGGAAACAAAGGTTGTTTGGCATCATTAATCAATCGAGCCAATTTATCATCCTTATTAACACTCATTGTACCATAACCAGTAGAAGCAGCACCCTCTCCCAAACTTGATTCGTCATTTGTAGCTCTACATGTATCTTCTAACATTTCAGGAATGTCATTACTCATAACATCTGAGAAATTCTCAAACGAATTATCTTGACTATTTTCTACATTGCTAGTATGCCTAAGCTGAAATGACTCACTGTGATGTATCCAAACCGTATAATCCGACATAAATCCATATAGAAATATATCCTTTTTAACTTCTGCTATCCTCTTAAAGCAAGTATTGTTGCACCCTTTGCATGGACATCTAATCCTACCAAGTGCATCAGCAGACTTAGTTGCCGTACCTAAGAAATGCCTTACGCCGGCAAAATATTAAGCACATAATTTTTCCTTCAATTTCACCCAATCTTTATCCGTCATGGGGATAATACGTGAATATAATACTAACCTTTGAGTTGTATCCTTTTCTTCTACACAACAAAGTCAATTTTACTCAAATAGCGAGCACTTCTACTATGCTATATAGCATTGGTGCTTTAATGTACAACTCATAGTTGTACCATAACATTAAATGTATAAGTTTAGGTTGTACCATAAAGCAATTTGTACCATTATGTTATGGTACAACTTTACAACTTGAAGTTGTACCATCACATATAGGTACAAGTTCATGTTGTACCATAAAAGAATTTGTACAAAAAGTATAGGTACAATATAAAGTTGTACCATAACGTAAATGTACACTTTTAAGTTGTACCATAAAGGTAAAAACCTATAGCACCAATACTATATAGTATTGTAAAATTTCTCCTCAAATAGCCTTTATTCACCTGTACAAAACAAAAGAAGAGCAATGAACTATACATTCAATTGATATTCATAGAAATGAAAAACTAACACATAAACCAATGTTAGAACATGAAAATCATATGTCACCATGCATCACAAAATAACAACTAAAAAGACTACATGATGATTTTGATTACATAATCTAAACCAAAACAAAACTATAGTGAGTGGGCAAGCAGCTGCCATTGCATTTTTATTAATGAGACATTTTATAATCATACTAAGCCAACAAAAACAACAAAACTTCCATCATGAAGACTCTATAGAAGGAAGTGATCTAAGATTTGATTGAAAGTATAATTAAAACACAGCAAAACTTCCATCAACAGAATTCGAATTCAAGAACAAAATCTCACCAAGCCAATAAAAACCAACTCATGGAACACTGAAGATAAAAATACACTTACAAGGAATCATATTAATGCAGAACAACCATGTTCACAACAAGCTCTAAACTATCTAGACAATACAAGTATACAGGTTCATCATTTCCCCACAATGAACCCTTGAGACACTATAAATTGTGCAAGTTATGGTGTACAAAATTCAGTTCTGTCACATTGGAAGAGATAAATCTATTGTATTGCTATACGATAAAGTTAAATGGTCATCTGCCGTTAAGCTATTGATGAAATCATACCCTGTTATGCTCTCGACACACAATCGAGAGAAGGTGAATTGGATAAATAATAATAAAAAATAGGACTATACTGGGGACTACTTACTACGCACTAACTATAGCAAGTACTTATCAAGGTTCAAGAGGAAGGCAATAGTAAAGAACCGAACTAAAGGGGGAATAAAATAACAGTGTAGAATCAAAATCAAATTTCCAATCACAGTCTTAAGCAGAATATAGACACTCAGAATAGAATTCACAGGGAATTATATAGTGTGCAAAACAAGGGATACCTTTCTCGGAAGCAGAACAAACACGCCGGGAAAGCTGGTCGGAATCTAATTTTCGCGGCAAAGTAATGGAGTATGGGAGGGAAGGGTGGGATCGATTGCAGACTTTGCTTCTGATCTAGGTTACAGAGCTGGGAGATTCTGCCACGGGATCCATAAAACGAGAAATTGGGGACTTCCCCCAATTCCGTTAAGGAAAAGGGTTTTTTTCGAATAGAGCTTATTTTTTCAGTGTACTAATGAGAAGGCAAAATTTTATCTAAAAATAATATAAAATTGATACTTAACTCACCACAAACTACCTCGCAATTCGCCTTTTCCATGTCATTCTTCCCGGCAAATTTGTTTTGAGGAGATACTCTTTCACAATCGATATCAACGGTGACAAATTGTGATAAATTTATTTTTATCACAAATACATAATAATTTCATCCACAAATTCCCGTCAAAAGGATATACTTCAATTTTGTAGTGACAACATGCACTGCGGGAGTGCTCCTGGGTGGGCAGATTATCGAGGACAAGCTTGGAAAAGAATTGGTAAATGGCGGTCTTCAATGAGTTCCCCGAGGAGAAAGTATAGAAATTCAGTGCTATCCTTTGGTTTATGGAAAGAAAAGATTAATTGTCATTTCAATGACGCAAAAATGAAGATGAGATTGTGCAAAGAGCTACCTGCTAGGTTTAGGATTACCTGGAACATAACTAATTGTGCCAGGGAGTAGGACAGACGGGATCTTCATCATCGAATGCCTGGGAAAATCCTCGACCAGGGTTTTACAAGCTAAACACGAACGCTAGTGTGATAGGGAAGGAGGGTTTTGGAATTGGAGGGATTATTAGGGATTGGAATGGCCAGTTCCTCTTTGCGTTTGCGGAAAGCATTGAGAAATTGAAGCTCCAGCAAATCTTGGGAAATTGGAAAGGAAGAGGTGACGAGAATAGGATTTTTCCGGTTGTGGTGGAAAGCGAGTAAGGGGTTCATTGAGAAATTGGAAAGGGAAGTGACAAAAGGGAAATTGGAGTTTTGTGTGATTGAAATAATTGGATCCTTTAGGAAAAATAAAAGGATGGTGGAGTAGCGTTGGGAGTAGATGAATTTGGATGGGCTTATGCCCGACAACAAAAAATTATAGCAGCCCAAGTAGTGACAAATATATTTTGTCATATAATAAGTCCTCGTAATAATATTATGATAAACTCATTTGTCACAATAAATATACGAAGATATGTAATATGACAAATATTATTGTGACGCCTATTTTGTCATATTATAATCATAGGTGTGTTGCGGAAAGAGATATTTTGACAAACCTTAAGTGACATAAACCTTGTTTGTCACAAGATATCCATATTGTGACAAATGGTTATGACAAATCCAACTTTTATCACAAGATACTTGGATGGTATGACAAACTAATGGTTTGTCAAATTTGATGCATTCTTGTGACAAAATCGTAAATGACAAAAAAACATTTTGTCGCCACAGACATATTTTGTTGTAGATATTTATTGCGAAATGAGATGATCTAAATTCCTTCGTTTTGGGTTTCAAATTAGAAAATTTGCAATCACATATTTACATAGTTTTCATCTCCTACTTTTAAATGCGCGAGATTTAAAGTTTCTTTATCTAAATTTCATATCAAACTATGAACATGAAAACAAAAGCAGAGGTGAGTAAACAACTAAAGATCACAATGCCTGTAGTTTTAGTGCTATGAAAATATATTTAAACTCATAAATCAATTAAGTGCATCTCATCTTTCATTGAAAACTAAGCAAAATTTAGAGACTCATTCACTATTATATAAACGTATTTGAGTAATATATGTTTGCAAACTGATATTGCATGCATTTCCTTTGCTGTCACTATACAAATTTATGTTTGAAAATATACAATAAATTTGTCTAGTCTAATTTGTTATGACCAAGGCTGTCACTTGATTTCCACCAATGACTTATTTAAGCAAGTGGGTTAAGAATTAATGACCGAATTAGATTAACTTGGTTTAGTATAGCTTTACCCATGTGTATGAAAATTTTATTGGTTCGACATGTATTATGCTTAGATATTTATGAAATTTCTACGATAAATTTAGATACAATGATGATTTAATATAACTTATTCATTAGGATTCAGTTTTTTATACTTTTTTCTCCCTTAGAAATTACGCTTTAATTCTAAATTTCTTCCCTTTTTTTTAATCTTTTTTCCATTTCATTTTCTAGTTTTTTATTTCTTTCTTTGCATAGCATATCATATTGCATTCTCAATGTTTTTTTTTTTTTTACTCTTCTTCTCCAATTAAATTTCAAGTGTATATACAAATGAGGACATTGGTCTATGTTAATCACACAAAGTCTCAATCGAAATACATATTCGTCTAATCTTTTTGCTCATTCTTTGTATGAGATGTGG